TATATATATATATATATATATGCGCCTCCTGTTCATTCTGACAACAGCTGTCTGAACTGTGGTCTGACCCAAGATGGCCGCACGATTTCTATATTATATATATATATATATATGCGCCTCCTGTTCATTCTGACAACAGCTGTCTGAACTGTGGTCTGACCCAAGATGGCCGCACGATTTCTATATGTGGATTCATAAAACAAATATAACACTTTACTTTATGTTCAGAGACATTCTAGATAAATAAAAATAAACAAGTTACACTGTTTTAGTTTTTTATGTCTAAAGATGGCAATTTTAAATCAGAATATTAAAATTCATCCTGTTCTTTGAGTCTTGAAGTAATCACAATTAATGGAAAATAAGGCTCAATAGGAAATTTAACCACATTTGATCATTTTCTACTGCCATAATTTTATTTACAATAATTTTTAAAGCAATTTTAAAGCTGCAACAAAGTAAATTGAATACATTCATAAAAATCAAAAAAGATATATTAAAAATAATGAGTTATTTTAAAAAAGCAATTTCAAACCAGCGCTAACAGGCAGGGTGGTTTTCTCCATATATTCGCTCTATTGACGGATGAATAGTTTGATATGATGTCATCAAACTGCTTTTTCTTTCCTCCAGGCTGCTTTCTGCTGTCCATGCGTCCTTAGCCACTGCAGCCGGAGTCACGGTTGTTTCATCTTGCAGAGACGTGATGACCGACAGGTGAGGTGCTCATCGTGCTACATGATGATGTGAATAAAGCACACCAGTGAAAAAGCTTCATGTCTTGTGAACAGTCACTGGCTGGTGAACAGCTTCGTCCTGTTTGGAGCTCCCTACATGCTGTTTGACATCTATGCCATGTATCTGAACCACCGCCACACCCAGGAGGGATCCCAGACTCCCAGCAGATGCTCTCTTCATGCAGTCAGAGCTTTCCTCCTCAGGGATTGGATGCTGGTTTTGCATCACCTGGTCCTGGTTTTTATTTTCTTACCCATCACATTGGTGAGATCACAGTGAAATCCACTCAGTCTTAACTGTTCTTAAATGTCCTCCCATCTCTCAGTATGCAGTAAGCAGGTTTAACAAACTCAAATCCTCAACTCTGGATCAGCCATGCTCACCAAGTAGCAGCAGTGATAGCCATGCTAACTATGTAGCAGCAGTGATAGCCAAACTAACCATGTAGCAGCAGTGATAGCCATGCTAACTATGTAGCAGCAGTGATAGCCAAACTAACCATGTAGCAGCAGTGATAGC